AGAGTAATAGAGACGCCGTCTTGTGTCGCAACCAGCCTGCCCTTTATCAGTGCACTCCTTTTTGACGGGATGCTCAGGAGTGCTTGCAATGGAAACCACGCACGTGTCAGCGGAATCCGTTTAATAATTGATCAGTCCCACTGATACTGATGTTCGAAGATCGTCACAGAATTTTAAAGCTTGTGGGGGCTTGGAAAAGGAGGAATCAACTAAAACAAGAAGACTGAGATGTCAGCCGTTTAGGACAGCACGCCCTAATGCGATTTTTCCACCCTGATTCCTCGCCCCCCATCGCTGATGCTGCCATCGTTGGGAGGCTCAAGGTATTGCCGATAGGTCCGGGGGCTTGAAAGAAACGATAGGTATGAACGATTTTGGTAGGCTTGATCGCATCGGTCTGCTGTGGCCTGGTCTGGCCTTCTCTGGCCTGGCGTCGATTTCGAAACAACGTGACCATCAACACAAGTGCCATTCAATTTGATGATTGGCAATAACGCGACAACGACCATGCGCCTGGATGAGTAGAACATTTAGCTAAGAGCGAACGGTAATAAATTGGCCTATGTCTACTTCACCAATGGTAGGGTATAGCCCTGAAGAGATCGTTGAGATGCTGTGAAAAATTTATTTTCTAGCTATCGGTGCATGTGGTATATTTTCGAACAGATTCTATTTCACCTTTTCTATCTATAAACAAGCTACATTAGATAATTTTATGTGGCTACATTATGTAGGAGTTTCTGACACCTAAATAATGATACTTTTTGCATACTTGGTAGTATTATAAATTAATAATATATTTGAGATAGTCTGCATCTTGGTAGGGCCAGTACTATCGGCCTTTAACAGGGCTATTGGGTATGAAATTCCAACGAAAAATGACAAGCAATAATATTGCGAATATATATATATATATATTTAAGCGAAACATTTCTATGTATAAACGAGTACATATACTATAAATAAAAATATACAAAGAAAATATCTATAATCGGCTGTTTTTATTTGAAAACTTGTAACAATTAAACTTGATTTATTTCCAGTCCGGTCCCTGTCCCTGTACCGGTACATCGTACTTTACACGCGTGAAATTACTATACACTGTGCTGTTTTTCTAGCATACGTTTATGTGTGCTATACATATCACCATTTCGTCATGCCCTATCAAAGTTTGCACACGGCTAGCAACAGTCCATTTATTGTAAAGCAGTTACATAGAAAATCTTTCGGCGGGCCTATGGTATAATTCATGTGGTTTAACAGCTTACACATGATCAGACTGGAATATTTCATGTGTTGAATGGGCCTGTTAATCAATGAAGGCAAAATTTAACTGTACTCAACATTGCTATCTGATTTAGGCCGAGGAAAGTTAATTGATTTTAGGATTGATAGTGTGTCTTACAGACGTACGTACGACGTTTACCATGAAACTTACCGCGATTCTTGCACGCCTGGAGTGTCTACTACTCTACAGGCTCTGCTCAACGTCGCTAGTGGACTATTCGAAAACTATCTAATGACTTTCTAAGTACTATGGATACTGCTCTATGATCAGACGGTCAATGATCATCACGACTGAAAAATATGTCTACTCCAAAGCTGAACTTAACATGCGTATACTTCTAAGTTACCTAGGAAGACAGTCACTACCCTACTAGAGAGCATAAAGTGACTGTATAGAGCACATGCTTTTATATATATATATATATGTATGTGTGTATGTATATATACAACAGAATCGCCACGCTACTGAACTACCCAGGAAAGTTTCTTAGCCACGAGCTCTATCACAATGGTTTCCCGTGGTCATTTCTCCAGTAGGGCCTTCTTCCGTTGATAGGTAGATAGATGATATTGCCTTACGGGAATAAATTCGCAGACAATCTAAGTTTCGGCCGCAGTTAATCACAGTTTAACAACAAAACTCCTCACACGATTTTGTTGTAACGTAGCGTCTGTGTTTAATAAGCGTCGCAAATTGTACAACGTTCGTATTTTCTCTGGCCCCTATTAGTCGTCCGATACTGAGTTGGCAGTGATCACTCGAGGAGGTTCTATTGAGAACGGTTGTCCCGCTACAGAACAATACCCATATTCGCGGTATAGTGTTGACTATTCGAAGAGGAGGCCGAAAAATAATTGGCCTTGACGGATGCACATACTAGTCGCAAAATGAGGTTAGTAATTCAACCCTACTCTGCACTCTGGAGCAGCGGTATCGGGAAAGGCTCGAAGTTTCGATATTTCGGCATGGACATTCAAGAATTCTGAATAGGCTTTAATTTACCTTAACCCTAGCTATGGTCGTGCTTCCATGTAGAAGGGTCCATAATAGCTGGTCGACTGGGTCAGACCTGCGTGCTGACAAGGCTTGCTATCTAGCTTGCTGAGGATGAATGATGGGCTCTTCAGATGTTGATGTACATGTATAATGTATATAAAATGAAACGAAACCACTTTTCAATGATGTCATTTTATTTTTAGTCTTAAGCCCCGTATAAAGTAAATTGTCACTCCATTAGTTTCACGCGCACAGTAACACAGGAAATACGCTAATCAATTTATTTTTCCCTTTAGTGTACACATTATCCTTGTACTTGGACCCTTACTTCATAGGAACGGAGCAGCGTATGCACAGCCTAGGAAAAATGTCTCGACACCGACGATGCTGCGGGCGTCATAATCGCCAGTCTTTCTTCCCCTACATAAATCTCTGCCGCGACGCTATCATAACCGGAAATTAGTCGCTTATAGTCGTTTGGTAGAGCTTTACTACTGATACACAAAAGAGGACAGAGCTACATCGTTTAGGCTAGGAGATATTTATTGGCAAGTATATAACAAAAACTGACTCGTAGGACGATAGTGGATCATTGCACGTCGCAGTTCGTAAGCGAGTTAAGACAACAAAGACGAGTGTCGACCAGCAAGCGATTCAATGAACCATCATCCGGCGATAATTCAAATTCTGTCCAACGTCGCTACGGAACGCAAATAGCATCATAATACTATTACCTGAAAAGCGTTAAACGTTCTTGTCTGCAGTATGTGGACGAAGGGAGGTTGCCCGGCAAGGACGGCTAGATCCCTACGATCCGCCTGTGCTGCCAAGATGAGGGAACACGTTGATTACGGAAACGTGTGATCGATTATTTGAGGTTAACCAAGAAATATGACTGATGAGGCTGATGGATCCGGTTGCACGTAGACGAGGAAAACATTTTCTAGGGATGGCGTGAGGCCACTGTTGTAGGTCGAGAGTAATGGACATTGTCTAGGAAATGTCGTTGAGGGGGTCTCCGTAGAAATTTATGTGATGATTGCTTACATTACAGTATGCAACTATGTTTTTTTAACTAAACTGTTTTTATGATTAAGCGCCCTTGTTCAGGTACAGAAACATTCAGCAAAAGATTCTATAGTAAAAAGCTAAAGGCTGAATTGCATTTGCCAGCATCGCGCGCCCATAAAGTATATTTTCAGGACAGGCAGGTTTTAAGGTTAAAGTAGAAAAACGAACTGAAGATTCAATGCATTTGAAGTACAGCCTTGGGAAACCTATAGATGCTTCAGCAGCAGCAGCAGCAATGGCAAGCGTATACCGTCAACCTATTTCTGCCCTGTGAACGTTTGCAAATACATGCATTAGTCAACTAAATAATGCCCACTTTTTATAAATGTATATATGCATATATATATACATATATCTAACTTAGATGAAAGGCACGTGTACACAAAAACGTACATTGATACATCTATACAAATGATAAAAACGGGGTCCAAGTCAATAAACCACGGAATGAATTTACATGCAAATAAATAAATATAACCCAGAAGGACAAACTACTACATGTTGGTATAAACGTTAAAAATAGGTCGTTCTGTTCTGTCTAACCAAAAGAAACATAGAGAGCGTCTGAATGTATTGATTTCGAAAAGCTTTCCACTGGGATACGGAAGTTTATAAACATACATATACATAAACATACAGATAGAAAGCTATTATCAAACTTTCAACGTTACGAGAAAGAACGCACAACAATGCCTGCTTATTTGGTCAATTGTTGATGGATTTATTAATACCGGAAGGTGATCGGAGTGATAACGTGCTCGTAAACTGGTTCCATCTGAAATCTGACGTAAAGATAGTTCGCTTTGTATTGAAGCTATGCTTCACTCAGTCAGTGGTACGGGACGGGAAAGTATATATTCAAACTGTAAAGACGCTCGATTAGACTAACTGGAAGGCCGCGTTAAGGGTCTTAGAGGAAAAAAGTTGACCCTTTTATGAGCTATATGCAATAGTGATTATGAAATGATGCAGCGCACAGGAAGTACTAAAATCAACATTTCTATACCTCACGCGTTTTCATTAGACTATTAAAAACTTCTAAAAACTCACTTTTTATAATTTTTCATGTGATAGTTGACGGAGATTTAATCAATGTAACTTTTCCTCTACATGCGTCTTTTGTTTGACCATTACACAATAACATAGTAAAAAATGTCTACAGACGCGTGTATGGGACGAGTTTATAAAATGCCCTCCATTTTGCCGTCTGTCATTCAACACGTTTAATAGGAATTGCACAGGTATGTCTACGCACAATCACACCCGAACACGCATAGATCCCTTCCCATAGAGGTGTTTCCCGCCTCATGGCTTATAATTAACATGCCTAGAACGTGGTGCGCATAACGAGACCTGCCACCGATTATATCCGCACACGGCACCTCAACAACGTTCGTAGCCGGTAACACCAATGGTAACAATATACAGGCGCCAGTCAGACGTACGTATTCGTTGACAACGCTAAAGGTCATCTGTCATGTTCTCTTTCGCACTCTGTATTTTGGTGACCCGTACGTTCTCTTGATCGTCAAGCGGACTTTGGCGCTAGTGCTTCCGTTACCGGCACCGCTGTCGCCTCGATCATCTGCTAATTTTCTCAGCAAAACCACGCCAGAAAACAATCAGCGGCTGTACGATAGCCGTGAACCGGTGATGGCACAGCAGGTCGATGCGTTCTGGGGAGGTTGTTACTGTTATAGCTGTGCCAAAGTCATTTGGTAAACCGTGGTTAACATGATGGACCAACACGTCCCTTTTTTGTCATCTTCACAAACTTAACGATATGGGCATTGCCGTTGTATCTCTATGGCTGATGCTCATACGCAAAATGAACCGGCCCTCTTATGCTAAGTTCCTCTTGTCTACAGTCCTGTGAGTCTGGCTTATTACTGTGGAGGCGTAAATGACATCCGCTCTTATTTTTAGGTGAGACGTCAAACTTACTAATCTTAGTAATTACATAATGAATATGAGCCTATCGAGCCTATAGGACAGCTGTTGAAGTGACTTGCAATATGTACTACAAGTCAATTTCATCTACATTCAAGTAGGGAAGAGACAAATGTATGTCGCCCCCTTATACTAATCCCCTAATTATACCGATGATTAGTACCTATTGGAGTCAGACCAAAACCAGGAAGCGTCAATGTCATGGTACTTTTCAGTGAAATCGATCAACACGAGGATAATCTCTGTTCTTAATAACTGGAAACAAACAGGATGTTTGCATGTGAATTTGTAATTAAAAAAAAAGCTTTGCTTTAGTAACGCTTGTTAATGTGTGTGTGTAAAACGTTTGTTAAAGAAAGTGGTCAACATCAAGTATTGTATTTCGTTGAATGACTACTAATCGCTTATTCTTTGAATAGATGTGTATTTAGGAACTAGTCTATTTGACAGATATGTACTTATATTGATTGTGTTTCAGATTCTCAATTGTTTTCAAAGGTTTCAACGCTACCTTGTTTGTCGTCTTTGGGGCGAACGAGGTTTGTGGGCCTTTCATCCATTAACAAACTTGCTGTACCTATCGTAATGTTTTTCGTCCTCGGATTCGATTAACACTAACACTTCACAACAACAAGACGCCGCTTCAAGCAGACCTTCGTTGCTGACCGTATCGCGTTTACTAGCGATAGGCCGACAGAGGTAAGGATTTTATAGTTATGCGTGGGGTCGTGTCAGCAACAACGCCCTCCTATCAGTAGAAAACATCCTTGTTTCCCCTTGCTTTTCCCTTATTCGACTCTACTAAGATTACTTTGTTGAATGCTAAACGAACCTAGGTTAATTTTCGAGTAAGGAAGACGAGCGCAAAACCGCTTCGGCAGTGGATCAATGTCAAATATTCTAAACGTACAGCCAGATACTTATATCTATATATACTTATATATACGTCGTTCGGATATACGGTTACGTTCTTTTAGTTAGTGATTATAATAATTTAATTATGATCATCATCAAAGGTAACACTTTGCTTTGCTTGTGTAAAAACAACTTAATTGGAGTATTCTTACTAAAAAGTATCCTTTTTTTCTGCATAAATAAAATAATAAATCATAGGAGGCGCAGCTTCACTGTGATAATATAAGTTGTGCAAACTTAATAGATAAATGAAGTTCTCATAAATAGGTTAGCAATTATCGGCGTACGAGGCAACATGTGAATGCGGAGTTTGTTTTTGTTAGCATCTGAAATTGGCTGTAAACAGGAAATTTTATTTGATAAAGCAAATTAATTAAAGGTTTTTTATATATTGAATCATCTTGGATCTGAACAATAAGGGATTGCTTCAAGAACCGTCCAGGAAGGTGCCCACAGCATAACTGGGCAAACGTAAGTTTTACGGCGAAACCCGCGAGAAGTATGTTTACATTGCCAAAAATCAGCCCAATGTCAAGCACTATATGTCATGTTTCGTTCCATCAGTTGTTGGCAACTCGATCTGTTGCCTTCGTTAGATAGAGACCCACGATCACCGTGTTTCTTACGCACAAGGAGACGCGCTAGGTGTATTCTCTATTGCAACGGTTACGGCCGTCGCTATTACCGCGCATGTGTGAGAACCGGCACTCTTGGCGGGTAAAGTCGCTGCCAATACGGCATTAAGTGGAGTAAGAAACCAACGAAATGGGTTTATAGGGAAACTTTCTTTGGGTCTCGCCGTAAATTGAGTCGCTGCTATCATAAGCTAGGCGCCATCAAAAATCGAACAAAAATAATCCAGCCGTCTATGACGGTGGCGAGGCCGGCGAGGTTCATTCGTTCTCATTACTCACAGTAGTAAAAGAGCCATGATTTCTCATTGGCCTTGAGATGGCGAAGCGTTAGCGTCATTGCGTGCGACTCGGACAGCTAGCAGTGGCAATTTGAATTTATGACGAGCGAGACAAAATCTTCATTGGTGAACCACTTATAGTTCAAGTAATTAAGTTATCCAAATAGGAAAATTAGTTTAACCGAGACCCATCGAAATAAGCGGCCTAAATGCAGTGATAAATGCATAAACCTTAGAATGGTCTCTATTATATTAGAAGAGACTCTGCCTAACGCGACGCTTTGAAACTGGTCAATGCACGAATGCACCTCAGCGTTTACACCTATCTCTGAATTTCTCCTCCTTTAATGCAGAAACTTCAAAATTTCAATAGCTAACCTGCCTGCCAGCAATCCATACGGGTAAGCGACATTGCATCTTAAAGGCTACTTACCGGTTTGCTATGTATATACACATAGTGCTCCAATCTTAATGGTAATAAAAGTAGTTTATAAGGCAAACTGTAATACCGCCCTTTTCAGCTAACACGTAAAGTTAATTAGAGATCAGTGTCACGGATATCTGTACATATTGTCGTTAATCTATTACCTGGTTCGAATCTTAATAAAATCTTGATACGCTTTGCTTGAGGCCCAGATCGGTGAGGTGAGAATGAGGAAAGAATAGACGTTTAAAAGCTGATCCTCTGCGGGAAGTCATGCGATAGCGTTAAATATGCTGGTGCCCGAAATTTATCGCCGTTTCTAGTTACTAGTAAAAGCTTTGAGGCGCCGCAAACGTATCATTTGCTAAACATCTGTATCGTCTTTTTAGATAATTTGGCTATGGCCTATCAAGACTATTATAGTTGATCATCTTTGCTCCCTTTCACTAATTGGTACTAATTTCTAATCTGATATGTAGGAGAAATTCAGATATTTGGCAAATACGCCACTTCATCCTAAATCTTATCTCTTCTGTCAGGTTTTTTTTTTCGCTTAAAGAGAGACTGGTTATTATTTGCTGCTGATGCTTTCGAACGTCGTGTACAGGAACGGTCCAGAAAACGTTCGGTAGACGTAACTCCTTTTACAGCCCGTGCAGAGCCTTCTTTGCAGCAGATATACGCTTTTATACATTTCGATATACTGCAATATTTGCCGTGATGATTGTGGCTTTATTCTGTTATTGTCCAATGTTTACAATCAACACAGAAATCACTGCAATATATTAATTGTAACACCAACTGAGTAAACACTTGACGACTTTCCAGGTGACTCGTTTTTGAAGCAGTATTTGATTAGGTGTTTCTGAACTAGGGGCTGGCCCCGTGTAACTCCCATTTGCAACGGTTCTAGAACAATCGACGTTAACCCTAAACGACTGTCGCTGTTTCCTTTATCATGGACTCGGTCAACGACAATCTCTCATACGCGCAATGCTCCACCAAGGACGTCTTTCGAGCCAGAAACTGTTGTTAACTGACAGTATGAAGCAGAAAGCGGAAACTGCATAGAGAAGATTGTCCAGAACATTCAGAATAGGATCTAAGTAAAAATGTTGTTCCTTTTTGCAGGTCGGTCGGACGTACTGAACATTAGCCATACGTGCAAGTAACTAGGTGTCATTTTTTATCATAAGTTCAGTTTGCTCCCCTCTGGCCTCGTCCAACTAGAAACACTGTAGCCTCTAGTGGTCGCAGGACCATTCATTCAGCCAAACCTGAAATATCTTCAAGGCTCCGTGTATGGCAGAGAATACTTTCTGTCTTCCCTAGCTTTCTGCCAACCTTCAATAATCGTCGATACGTTTGCGTTCTCCATCTCTACACAGCAGTCCCAGAGCGTTACTTTTTCCGCCATCGATGTAGCCAGCCAGATATGGCTGAGATGGTAGGGTAAAACCGAATCTCTCCACCGATGAGAGGTACCCGTGCACAGTCACGCTGCCCATACGTGGCTAAGCGCAGCACGGATAGCTGGTACGTGTTGTATGCTGCTCCTAGTCCGACGCACGCTGGCCTCGATAATCCATGTTCGCTCTTTCTCGAATCGACCGCACATCGCCACAGTCAAAGCTAGAATATGGCGTCTGGCGTGGCTGCAGAAGGCAGATTAGTCGATTATTCCAAAAGCACCTGTGTATATAAAGATATGTATATGTGCCTCGAGTCATATATTACATCTGCTGAAGCCACGAGGCTAAAACGAGGATGATAACTAGAAGAGGATGCCGCTGGAAAGAAGAGGTTGCAGGACGACGATGTCAGGGCAAGCTGAGGACTGCATGCTTCTACCAGAAACTCGAAGGCGGCATATTTGCGAAGTTGATTCTACCAACGCCTGCGATCTATGACAGATTGCTTTGCACAGGGGACTACTTTTTGCCGCGCACCGTTTCGTCTACTAGAATGCGTCTTAGCGTTGTTATCTCTGCGACAGACAGAACAACGCTATTGCGAAAAAGCTATAGAATTAGCGACATTGAGAACACATGTCCCGAGAAGGACAATTCCAAACCTGGGGCACAAAAAAAGAGGTTGAGATCGACGTCAAATCAGCGTAGGTAACCACCGAAACGCGGAACATTTGGATTTCGCGACGAGCGGCGATTAAGATGGCATTGACTGGGATGTAGCTGGAAGCTAGGCTTACGAAACTGTTTCGTGCTTGAACTAGTGCATTCAGGCATACATATATACATAGATAGAAAAAACATTTTTGTGTGGAGGCAAGCAACTCTGTGCAATTATATTGGGCAACCCACTTGTCGAGGCTTCCAGCTTAAAAACTAACCGGTGGTTGGTTCCTGGCCAGTTCTGAATATTGTATAATAAAGTTAAGAGCCTGGGTGTCGTATTTTTCAAATGTGTCAATTTGAAGAAATGCGTAGTAGTCACTAACCACTAATAATTATGAAAATATACACGAACCATTAGTATCAATAAACACTTAATATTTATAGTGACAAATAAAGTAGTAAAGCCATTATTATAAACATCCTAATTTTTAATTTATGTGCATAACAGTTTTTTTTAGACACGCGAGAAGAATACAAAGGTAGAACTAAGCACACGAAGTTCCTCACTGTGTTATCTTCAAAGTGACCCGCCGTGCTGACTCAATTTAGGTACATTGTCTCAGGCCCCCTTTTCGTATCTGTGACACTCGTATTCATAGATTTTGAAATCTGTAAACAGATATCTAAGGTTGGGCTTTCAGAATAATAGATACAGCTCACCGTAAAGCCATGCTTTCCCTTAAATTGATCCGTTTGCAACAAGGCACTAGATTTCCCAAGCCAATAGAACTAACAATAATAATAAAAAGTATGCTGATCAGCAGGGGGTAGAATTGCCATGGAATATCGTAAAACTTGCTTCACTAATGATCGTAGGTAAATCTCGAGTATTTTGGTAGTAAATTAATTATCTTTCCTTCGACCTTCCATTTTATTTAGTTTTCAATGTTTGAGAACTTAAATCGGTTTTGATAACGAAGAAAGCAAAGGTTCCGTAAAGATGTTCAATGATGTTCTCAAGTAGTGATTAGACTAGTTAGCAATATTCTCTATTCATGCAGACTGTGTCGTAGGTGTTTCTGGAGGGCTTTTACACAACAACTTCTGGCCATCAAAGGCCATCCCCCCGTCGCGTCGAGTAGTTTGCAAGTTGTTAGTGGCTGAAGTACCTAGTGATGGTATCTCAACAAGCTATGCTCACTCAGTGTGAGGCAGACATCAGAAAAAGCAGCTTTTGTCGTGTTAATTTATGTCACTCTTCCGTTGACATTATTTATCAAATCGCGTTTCCTAGTAGAGTGTCGTCAGCGTCGTCACGTTGAACGTGATGGTATTCGCGAAGACGTTTCCTCTGGAGACAGAGTCCCGTTTCTAGGTTACAGGAGTACTTGTTCCAATTTCAACAGCTGCAGCGATAAGTGCCGTCTGTTTCAATGTCTTTTGCACGTTGCCTCTCCGCTCAAGTTCAGTCCAGCAACTGTTCATGCGTTTGCTATGGTTGAATGGGAGATCTTGAACGCATCTAAATATTTGGAAACTTCGTTTTATGTTGTCTCTGCATCTTATAGATGCAAAATTCACTTTGTTCTAGATGCTTTGAAACGACTGACATCGGGTAAACTACATACGTAACTAGTAACGCTCGGACTGATAGCTTATTTTGTAAGGGTCAAAACACTTCATAGCCTAGCAGTGTCCATGGTAAGGGCAGTACGCTTGGGTGGCTCAACAGCAATCAATCGGAATATCGACTTTTACCATTATCTCGCCTCACAGTCCATAGCTGCCCACAATCTTCCATTGTCTCCCCTTCGACCTCACTAAGAAAAGGGATTGAGCTGGTCTTCTAAGTGCGACCCAATTTGCCATATTTAGCGCACTAACCGTCTCCGAAACGTCAGCGAGATATATAGACAGAAGCTGCCAGAGTTCGGTTAGGGTTCTTTTGTGAACGAGTGTCTGTCGAGTCCGCGACATCTTATGCAGGTGTCGTTTTTTATGATGACGGATATTTACTCTCTCATGATCGTTCAGCAAAGCAACGTAAAGTTCAGTACTGGTCTTCATTTACTCAGATTCGTTTTTTTGGGAAATAGTCATTTGCTCTTTGCACGCAGGCATCACACATGTTGATAATAGTGGCGCTCACAATAACTGCGATAGGTATCGACATCACAGGCAGTAGCGCATAGGACAAAGCGTCGCGAAACCTTCACCACAACGGGCTAACAGCACTTTGCCGAGAACTATTCATCGCAATTGTGGATCAGCCTTGCGATACTCATCGTTGTTAGTCACGGAAAATGTACGTCCAGGTTCTTACCACTGATACAAGCGGACTATGTTGATACGTGCCCCCTTTCGCTGTTTTGCATGATTCGATTCGTATTGCTAAAAGAGCTCAGGCGTTTACGATGGCCGGTCAGAATTGCTATTCGACTCAGGCCTAGCTAGCATTCACAGTCGAAAAGCTAGATAATCAGTAAAATAGGTTTCTGATCGAGCGTGATCTTCGATTTTCTATAATGCATACATTTCCTTCATGTAAAAAGAAATAATTTCCATTCAAATTTAGACCAACATTTGCGTTTACCATTTGCTTGCCTAAAACAGCACGGTATAGGAATACGTTCTCTCTCTATATATATATATATATATATATAGGGGGGCAGGGACGATATGAAAGTAAAAAAACTAATTGATCATCTCACAAGATAAATCTTACTTTACTATTTAGCAGAATGGTTAGTACGGAGTGCTGCCAAGCCGTAAGTAAACGCAATGCATAAAAAAAAACTTTCGTAAATTTTACAAAACTACCGTTTAATCAAGGTATTCAGGAATTGCGCTTCCTGGTCAAGTTACTACGCCATATAATATATTGACAATTATTTAGGTTTGCCCGTAGGACTGATGGCCCCGTCGGCCTTTAAGCCTATCGTGAGGCCGATAAAGTAGTTCTAAACAACAAAACTCCTTGAGGTGACAACAAAAAACAAGGTAACCGTCAACAGTGCAGCATGTTGTACGCGAAATCGTGTAAAAATTCAAAAATGCAACGATCAAATGTAAAATGCAGACGTCTACCGTCGGCAGCATTTGTGCTTTCTGATAAGGTCTAGGAACAGAAAGCTTAAAGGTTGCCAAAGCCTAATCTCGTAGTTTTCTATAATTGGGAATAAGACGATAAAAATAGGTCGTCTAAGTATTAGGTATTTATAGTTCTTAAAGGAATGAAGAGTCAAATATATTTGAACGAGAAACCTGTAGATTAGCTTGAAACCTAATTAGCGTTGGATAATTAGACTTTAATAGTAGACAGATAAACTACACAATGGACGAAATCACTAGCGACCTATTAGCTGAACTACTGAGGATTTAACGATTTAAAAAATCTTCGACTTTAGATGTATGTAGAAGCCACGCGCTTGCGACACAGGCCAACCAGGATTAGTTGGCTAAATTCCCTCTATCTGAACTATACCTCTGTTGGGTGTCGTCCGTCGATACGGGCGTATAACAGTTAAGTATAGCATCGTATGCTTAAACACCTTCAGTCCATTCTATGAAGATAGTGTCATCTTTGTTCGTTTGGTCGGGGCTTCGTATGAGACTTACGGAACGTAATAGAAGCACTCTGCCGCTTTCATGGGCCAATTGCTCTTTCATGAAGCGCATTTAAATTAAGCTGAGCCAGTGTTATACGTTCCAACAAGTCCAGTTAGAATATATGACTTTATGCAACCGCTGTATGCGAAACAAGTGCTTGTTTGATCACTTATCTATCACACAAGTTATCTAGTGCGCTAACTTACAAGCAAACTGCTCAAAGTTAGGTTTCTTCCCTGACGACACGAGGATGTTCAGACATTATCTGTACGAGGTAAAAACAATGAAAATACATATTAGCAGTTGGACATTACATTTTTTTCATTTATTTTATATTCAATTTATGTAACATACACTAGCTGCACGAGACGCGTATCGTACGATACGCTCTGTGGTCTGCTGTTAACGCAAGCGCATCGGTCCTCAAGCGCTTACCTAAAATAGAATGATTTTCGCTGAGAAAACAGGTTGCATCACCGGGTCAATGCGATCGTCGGATCAACGTTGACGTTTGAAATAGTTCCCTGACCCTGATTATTAACAATGTTATCTGCGGTTCATCTCCGCCACAAAATCAATGCAAAAGGTACGTTTTAACGGAGCTTCGATTTATTTCTAATAGAAGAAATTATCAAATCTGTTTGTTTACGTGCTACACCTGCTTAGTCGAAGTATATTGACTAGTGGTATCACAGAGAGGTCACGCTACACTTCAACAATGAATCGTTCCTATCTTTGAATGTATCCATGAGATATATTTACTCCGTTTGGCAATCTTCGTCACCGATATTCGACTATATCGAGGAAGAAGGTCCAGCAAGAGCACAATTTGCTCGCTGTGCCATATTGTACACGTGTATTTTTCAGGGATAGTATGAGTTACCTTCGAATGGCGGGCATCAAATGAGCCAATGGGGCACCGGGATGACGAAAAGCGTATTTAGAAAAGGGTCTGACCAAAACTCAAATCGCTCAGACCAGCAGTTTGTGTAAGGTCCGGGTGCTATCATATCTGTCTGAAGCGTTTCGAACAAATGAGGAAAATACCTGCTACGATTGACTACCATAGCTAGAAACACCAACGTGCCGAACCCTGCAGAAATGACTGGTACTTTGAAAACTTTACACAGATAAACAAAATATATTAACAATATAGAAGCCGTGTGTCAAATTATGATTGAGTAAGCAATGATAATTCGTTTTTGTCCTTATGGTTCCCTATATATGTGATTTGCAAAAAAAAAAAACTGGTAACGTCAAGGTTGCCATTGATCTCTGTCAAGTTTGATAAGCTCTGAGTTAAATATCATAAATTGCAAAAAAGAAGACAGTAAAAGAACTAGTATTTGCGAAACGATAAAGTACATACATGTAACATCACGATTTTTTACGACTCGCAGCTAACATTTAACTTTTACTCACCGTCCATTGAATCACTCCGGGTCTAAGTCGGTAGGTAGTACTGCGCGGCTCAACCAGGAAAAGGCCCGCGACATTCTACCTGGCTCCATTTTCGTTTTACTCCACGTTAAAGGCCGAGCTAACTGCCTAGTATCAGCCGTAAGTTTTCCTTCATCTCTTGGTGACTTGCGGGTTTCGGTGGACTTCAATGAGTTTTTTTCCCCATTTTCATACTTGGCATGTTTTAAAAATATATATAATAATTTTCTAATAAATCAAATAAAAGCAAATAATCTTTATACCATAGGGCGCTATGAAATAGACGATCGGCATGACTGCCATCAATGACTCTTATTTATAACGCGAACTAATTTTATCTAGTTAGTCCCGTAGAAAAATAAACCTTTCCCATTTCATTAAGACCTTTGCTACCAGATATTGCTACCGCTATAGACATAAGAACAAGTTCTACTCAGAATAATATTGTTGATTTTATTTAATAATTAATTTATAAAGAAACAATTGAAACATACTGAACTTTGCATAAAGTTACATACGTACACACAAAATTGTGTTGCGTTCAAAAGCCAAACTTAAATTAACTGCAGTTGCAGAAAAACGCGTCCCGCGCTATTATGATTTAATTGCGCAGAATTTAAGGCCTCGTTAATTTACCGTGTCATAGGAACGAATAGTGGTGCTAGGTGGCGATGCTTTCCACAAGCGAAGCTTTCGCTTGATCAACTTTTATAGATGGCAATACGCGAACATGTATACGACTGCCTCGATCCCGAGGCTGAGACGCCTCGAAACGCACCGTTCATATGGGGGCTGTGGTTCGTCAACGATGAACGCCATTTGAAAGGACGCAAATGACTTCAGGCCGTTATTTACACGTTACGGGGAGTCATTAGCAAACGCTCGAAAGCGTCCATGTCGTCATCAGCTCAGCAGAAGTAGAAGCCTGCAGGCACGATATGTGAATTGACGATATTCCCTGTAACGGCGAGGAGTGTGTAAGGCTCTTGGAATGATCCGTGTCGGAGGTTCATCAACGGTTAGATAGCGCTTGATATGATATATTCCCAATGATGGGATTCGAGGTATAAGTGAGTGGATAGAAAAGAACCAATCAAGGGTACGCACATAGCCACGCCGCTGGTGCGACGATTACAATCCCCAGCAGTCTTTCGATGCTACAATACAAGAACTTTTCAAACGTCTTCGTTTTATCAACTAGTGTTAATCTTATATAAGCTTTAATAAACGCTAGATAGCCCGATTCGTATTACTGAATGGGGCATACGATGGTATGGGGCGGGTATAGCGGTAATGCGTTTGTTTGTTTGTTCATTTCAGGGCATCTATGGCGGTCTGCAAACTGAGACGCAGTTGGTTTTATGTAGGAATCTGGGCGTTCTCAGCAATAACGACGGTAGCAGCAGATGCAAATGCGTAACTTCGAACATTTCTTTTTGCTAGTAACTATTAAGTAAATTCAGTGTGTTATTACTATGATTGTAATGTGAACTATATATATATAAATGCAGGGCGTTATTACGTATTTCGACGATAACAACCCGCATACAGACCTGAGGCTAGCGAAAACGAAAACATTGTTTTTGTGTCCGTGGCATTTATATGACGTGATCCCACAAAAATGAATGTAGCAACGCGCCAGTGATAAAAAAACATACATAGTATATATATATATATATATATATATATGGGGGGCACACAACGGATATGTGTTTGTCGAGAACTGTATGAGATGTGTCATTTGCATATAGAATAAAGTTTTTATTTCTTATTATATGTCCTTTTTGTGTGCGGTCTGTAAAGATGAAAATTCGTTCACAGCTTTCAAACTGGACTTCAGAGTGGCTTTCCCGCGAAACTGTTGAACGTCTATAATTGCCCTACGCTATAGCTAGGCCTCTGAAAGGGGTGGAACTAGTGGACCGAGTAGATACATTGGTTGCCAACCAACCATTACGAGTCATCAACATATTGGTAAGCGATGTATGTCGTTCTATACTAATTGAATGTAAAAGCCAACGTGTCAGCCAGGGCATATAATTAAGAATACTTAGCAAAAATAGGTGGCACGAGCCGATTACGAACAGCATAAATTCATGTTCATAGTACATCAAACCACTCTGTAGAGCATGATATGACTGGTCTCGCGGCACGACAGAAATCCGCTATCTGACTGCCCAAAGGATGGCAATGATCCCAAGACGCCGGCACATACAGAAATGCCCATAAACGAACGCGGCGCTATCAACTTGGCAGAAGTTTGTCAAGAAAACGGATGAAGTCTTGCAAGTACACGATGTTTCGCGGTGGGAACACAGAGTCCTCGTTGTTTCTGGGAAAACCTTTTGAAATTTTGACTGAAGACAAGCTAGGTTAGGAGACTTTTGGCTCACTGTGTCGGGGATGTTTACGAGGCAAAAATGGGCATATGATAAATACGGTATTATACGTTGATAATGATGACTGACTGAGGCTCCGATGCCGGCGCGGTCGCTGAACTGGCATATTTGAACTACAAAATATTAGCTGACCCAGACATGGAGTACGTTAGAATTGCCAATTTTATTGCTATTTCGTAAGAAACTATTAAAAATTGAAAACATACTTCCCACAGATTTACTTGGGGAGAACCTGGTATCAGCTTTAGTGGATTGTAAAATAAATGGTTATGGGTCTTGGTCGCTGGTGGTAACGCGGAACATTGGGCGAAAGATCACTATGGATTGAGGGTAACACCGGATGGGGCGATGAACCCAAACACTCCCCTTTGCGCTTTTGGCCCGCGCAATGAATAGCCTCGTGAAGCAAAAGGATGCAATCGGAAGTAATGACGCAATCATAGGTAAGTAAAATCTACAGTTATGTGGTGAAGTCAAATCGGGGCGAAAAAAATTTCCTAGGTGCCTGACCTAACAGGTAAGAAGTTAAATGCTTCTGAATTGGCGTACAATTACATAATCTGTTGTCAATGTTGAAAAAAATACTGCACTGAAATTTGGCTCCTTCCGTATTAAAAAATCCTTCCGTAAAACGTCTCCCGTATTTGGGGTCCATTCAGGCCTCAATGTATAAAACTCTATAAAGGCCGAATTGCGTTGTTGCTGTACAAAGTGAAAATTCGTCCTTAAATTCCTAAAACGGTATATATTTGGGAAATTAGTTTCGGTGGATTAACTTGTAGGAATCCGCTCTGGATCAGAGAAAGTGCGGATGTAGCGTACAAATGACACAGTATGTTTATATAAATTGTATAAAATTAATATATAATGCTGTTTCGATAATAAAAACAATAATACAACGACCGCTCAAAACCAACTAATTCTCACAGATTTATAGTTGTCTTTGTCTGTAGCAAAACCCATAAAACGAAGCTCCTAAATTGAGGACATTCGTCTGCGGCAATTTACCGATCACTACTTATAGAGATGTTATTATGACCGTCACGGTTTTCCATGTCAGCTGAATGCAAAGAAAATGTGTCAGTTCATGAAAAGTCGGGACGCGAACACGGTAACCCTAAAAAGAACGCTGTAACACGCCTGACAAAACGTTAAGGGACTAATTACGGACAACATCAATTCCAGTTCATAGTGCATCCGCTTAAGCCAGTCTTCATTGTACGACCGGTCTTGGAGGGCGCCAGAAGTCCACTGGGACACACGTGCGAGGGATTTAACTGGCCAAAGTATATCCCCCCACGGACTATATAGGGACATAACTTGCGAAACCCATATTCAGATGTTTAGAAGCGCGTCTGTGATCATCAGGCTGAAAAGGCTGACCATGAAAACGAACTTAGCCTCGGCTACAGAATTTGGTCTTGAGAATATAATTGGTGTTTAAAGCGTTTCCGGAGCCTTTGAGTCAGTGTGACTAAAATTAGAACAAGATAAAGAAAACGTCTAAGGTGACGTCAAATGATAGGGACTCTGGTGCTCACTACGTGATCAATTAGCATATTTGAAAGACAAGATCGGCTGACCGAAACTACGATAAATTTTCCATTCTCATGGTTCATCGCTATTTCATAAATAACATCTATTGATTCGGGGTTAAGCTGCGCGTATCTGCCGTAAAGCTACATACAGAATATAAGCGCCTGCGGACATTGATTGCCCAATCTGTTTGACGCTTATTTTTTTCCAGAAGGACAACATAGCATACGGTGACGTAAAATAGGAAACATCTTATTCTGTGATCATGGAAGAGGACTGATCGATTATTAGTTCTCGTGAAAGTTCACCATCGGCAAACGTTAAACGCTGTGTGTGATAGGTACGCTTGAATTTGCTCTTTGTGCTGCCTAGCACGCTATAGACTTATAGAGTCGATAGTCGACGCACCTGGGCCGCCAAACGTTAAAGAGAGTAAAAAATACAAACAGTGATCACTGTTTCTGCATTTATGAACGTAATCGACTACCTCTGATTGAAACTGCAGAATCACCGGAGGCGCTTTTAGGGCGGAAAACAGTTTAAGTTCATGACTAAACGCTAGGCAAAATGATGCGGCCAAAGTTATACGAAAAAAAAACTGCGGCTGACTTAATGATAATAATACAAACTACGCGTGATTTTCTATTACCACTCTATATCTTGGGTGAAGCCGAAGCAGGCAACGGTCAACCAGGAACAGCCTGTCGATATTCCGTTGCCAATATGAATTGCCAGATGAGACCTCAGTATGGATTACTCGCAAGCTGCCAGTGTGATATAGAGGAAATACGAGGCAATCGCAGGTAACGACGAAACTCTACGGAGATGGAAGCGTTAACAAGACAGATACCGGACCCAAAAAATTCACAGAAATTATGGAAATACTTATCACTTAATTTATTAAATTGACGAACGTATCTCGGGAGTGCTTCATTAAGATGTTCGAATTAAACCCTTTTGTATTAGCGCACAGAAGCCTTAAAAGCTGACATTGAGCTGCGGCACCCCTAACGTAACGGTCCATGCGATTATTCTTTATATGCTATTTATCATTCACGTTTTCTAGTAACAATACTAAATCTGCGCCACTTAATGGACGCCCTTTACTAATTGCAAATAAATTCAATACGTATATGTGAATAGAAGCTAATTTTACCAGTTACCTTTGATGATACGTACCGCTCTATGAAGAGATTCCTATTACCCCTTTTGTCCACGCGCTCGCATTAGTGGAACAGGATCAGACCATTGTGCTCTCCTCCAAGCCTAGAATCGTCATAGAACAGTTCTGATACAGCTTCAGGAATATCAAACCACTAAGTAGCGGGTAGTTCAACGGGACAGAGTTCTTGCCTTATGGATCCGCAAATATTTGAACATGACTAGTACCGGAAAATGACTGCTTTTCGAAATTTCACTACGAATCCGCAACTATTTTCACAGGGTTGTTAACAGGGGAGACACATACCTAAGCTTGATTAAGACATCCGTCTGTTTTATCGGTTGCTAACAACAGTAAGCGCACTTGCGTCCAACATCTATATGTACATCCATCATGTTCTGGGTACCGCTTGACTCGTACATTGCCTGCATTCAGTTGTCTCTAGGCTATCGGGTAGGATGTATACCGTAAAGTCTATCATAACATCCAATCAGGAGTACTGAAGTGTGTATCGTAAATCGGGCACACTGCCTTTAAGCTTCCAAGATAATGAATACGACTAACATCGAGACATTGTAAAAACTAGAAGCGCTCTATTAAACATCAAAGTGTCACTTCGGTTAAAGAAAAAGAGCCTTCGAGCGTTATATTAGCATAGATTCCTGTCAGTAAACTACAAAAAAAAATAGTAAAGTGATTTTACCGCACAGTTCAGAGCCAGTGAGGAAAGCCATAGACATTGCTCGCTAAAGTCGAAGACCTCGTCTGAGCAACGGCTAGATGAATCGCATCGAAGTAGTCGGGCACGCATACTGCATGCAATAACTAAATAAACATCTCAAACGTTCTTGCTGCTTCTAGAGCAAGGTTAGCGGCAAGGTCGCGGTAGAATATATTACTCATTGAAGTTGTGTTATCGTTCTTATAATGAAACCACTGCCCATAAAAGAGTTAACTGTAAAGTGAAGCAGGCCAACGCATATCATGGCGTTATGATGTTTGTAGAATCGCAATTTCAGTTTATTTAAGAGGTTGAACTCGAAAAAAGTGTAGGCAAGATTTTTTTCGTGGTACATTCAGGCTCCTATACTGTGCGTAGCATCAAAGAAGCTGCACTGCGCCATAGGTCTATCGGGACGCGTGGCTTTGTTTCACCGCCAAAAACCATTTCGAGAGACGTCGACGATTGCAAGCTGCCATTATCGGTCACGAAAGTCATACGTAGACGCTTGGAAGCATGCGCCAGCTCATCTGCTTGCCGGAGGCGGGAGCTTCTGAACCAACATCTGCGATTTGATAACGGTCAGCGGAGGCACCTAGTTGCGAGAATTGTGTGTAGGAAAAGATCTGATTATTAGGCTTGAGCACGAACTCGGGGACGCAGTCTACAGAACAGTGAATCTAGGAAAGGCAGTAGACAAAGAGCGACCGTTGAGCACAATCGTTAAGGTCCCGGATATCATCTGGAATCCCGATGTTCACA